GGTATCAAATAAACACTTGCTCCAAAGTTAATTATATCATTAATTATTATATGAATCTCCTATAGAACAAGGAAGAATGAAACTCCCTAGATCTTTTAATTTAGATAGGAGCTTATGTTGGAGGATTGCATTGCACTCTTCAAAAAAATACAACTGTTTCATGTTCGGCCAACTTTCTCTTCTTAGTCAACATCTCTTTAAAAAACTTAGAGTAGTTCGGAACATGTAGGATCGTATCAATGAAAAGAATATTGATTTGCAACTTTCTAAGGACATCCAAGGACTTTGCAAACTGCCTTTCTAGCTTATTGTTCTACAATCTTTGAGAAAACTGGACTGCATGTGTAAATGTATTGACATGAACGATTGCCTTAACCCGTGGACTGTTAGAAAGCCTTTGCTAATTTATCTTTGTTGATCTTTCAGAATGATCCACATGTTCGTCACTCGTGGTAGGTACCTGATTCTTCTCAATTTCTTTTCTTCTTGCAGTGATCTCTTGCATCCGAACTCCACTCCTTGTAGTGATAGCCTGAACATGTTCCTCTTTTGAATATTTTCTACAACTTTGAGAAAATGAAATAGACGGCACATAAGCTCGAATAGGGGTAGCAATTTGATTGATGGTATTTCCATAACTGCATAATTCACTGCTTTGACTATTAAAACCTCTCACCTGGGTTATTCTCTAAGTCACTTGGTAGGGTTCCCTGTAGTCTGCTGGACAATGCAGCTACGACTTATCCTACCTAATTCTTTATGTTTTAGATAAATGCTTGTTGATTCTGGATTGTAGTCTCAGTCTTGGTGATGTACCTAACAAGTAGATCCTCCAAAGATGATCTTTTATCTTGTTGTTGCTGAAATCCCGACGGGTTGCTCTGAACGGATTTCCTTGACACTGATTATTAGCCAACGAGAAGTTTAGATGATTTTTTCAACCAGAATTATGTGTTCAAATATGATTTGTTCTGCTGCTTATGCGAGTTTTGTGCGTAGTTGATCTTTGTAGGCTAAATCGTATGAATTGAAGCTAAAAGGCAGTTAGCAGTAGTGTGAATTGCCCCCACAACCTACGCAATTTGGGGTTGGCTAATGTACCATATTCACAGATTGAGATAAGTTGTCCAATTTCTTCTTTAATACTTCTATATGCGATGCTAGTGCTCCACTGCAATGAATGAACTTCAACTTTTGATTCACTGGACACCAATGTTACTCAAATATAAGCACATTTCCGAACTTTCAAAACTGCACCTTCACCAATAAATTTGTACCCTTTCATGTCAAGAGTACGTAAGTAGATAATATTTTCCTTTAAATCAGAAACATGCCGTACTACATCAAGTGTTCTGACACTTTCGTGAATCAACTTAATTTCCCTTCCTATACTAGCTATCCGACAAGGTGTATTAGTACCAATCACAACAACACCTTTGAAAACTTCTTCATATGTTGTAAAGGAATTCCGATTGGAACAAATATGAAAAGTACAAGCCGTATAAAAAATTTAATCATCTTCACGTTTGGAATCACCGTCAGAAATCACCAAATGGTCTCCATCATTGTGGATTTTTTTTACTCTGCAATTTATAGTGATCATTAACCTAATGCCCCTTTCTCTTGCAACAATTACAAATCTTACTTGTGATGGTAGATATTAATTTGTCTCTTTCAGGATTACCATCAACAATAAGTTATCTCCATGACCTTCAATTCGAACGAGATTTTTCATCTTCTCCCTTAAATATAAAGCATCATAAACATTTTTAATGGTGAGAGTATCACGACTATATAGAATCGTGTCTCTAAATTACATATATGAAGTGGGCAATGAACACAACAAAATCAAATTCAAATCTTCTTCATAATATTTAACCTCTAAGGGTTCAAGATCAACGACGATTTCCTTAAACGCGGTTAGGTGATCTTCAAGGTACTATGAGAATAGAGGCGCTGCTTCAAGTGCAATTTGCTAGTAAGACTCTTAGTCATGCAAATTTGTTCCAATCTTAACCATAACACAACGATGGACTTCTTCTTCAAAATGTCTCAAATAATGTTATTCGAAAGATGAAGATGAATTTGTGATAGGGCTTTCTGATTCCTACGTTGTTTCTCCTCCTGATTCCAAGTTGTGGCCATCTTGTCAAATCCCAACAATACATCTTCCAAATCCATTTGAACGAGTATTGCTTTATCTTTACCCGCCATAAAGAAAATCTTGTGCTGTGATCCTAAAGTGGAATATCATACTTCATGATTGTCATCTCAAAATAAAAAATCTCCTTATGAATTAAGTATTATCTCTGATACCAGTTTGTTATAAACAACGAAGATAATATCTGATAATTCTGATACCAAATTGTTGCGATAATAGGCGAGAAAATAAATCAATTCTCCAACGCATTTTTCTTCCTTTCCTTGTCCATATCTTGATTTTTTCAAATCCAACACAAATTCCAACCTCGAATAGGGTTTTCTTCCAATAGAGCTTCCAAATAGAATTTCAATTAGAATTTGTAAAATAGACTTCGAATGGGATTCCATAAACATTCAAACAAATAGAATTTCTCTTAATGTCTTAGAACTTCCAATCATCTTCAAAATAGAATTTGAGTCAGACAAGAGTAGAAACTCACCATGGTTACGTGGGTGTACTATTGGCACACTGGTGCCCATACATTTGGTATATAATATGGTTTGCAAAGTTCGTAAAAAGATAAAATTTCAACTCAGAACACCCATTGAACCTGTGTCAACACTGCTTTTCATCCATGGATGCCCTGCAAATCATCGCAAATGAAATCCAATTAGAACCATCCAATTGTAACTCAAAAAGGTTCAAAAACATACAACAATATCAAAGAAAATCTTGTTTGCAGCAAAACTGAGCGAAATGAATTAAGATATTCAAAAACTATACCTACTAAAGAATATTTGTTGAGCTTTTAAAATTAATCTCAGGAAGGATTAATATCAATAGCCTAAAATGAAGAGCTTGGTAAAGGTACTAAAGATCTCGAGTTGGGATACAGAAGAAGTCTATCTTTTTAACGCGCCAAACAAGCACAACTTACAAAGGGCAGCAAGCTTTCCAACTTAATTCTGTAGAACATTAACAAAAATTTCCTCACAATTTATGCAAACACAGTACATAAATTCAGTCACATCAAAAGAAGATTACTTTGAGAACAAGTTTAACCAAACATATTTGGATTATGCTAGTTGTTAAGGTTCACACGGTGTGATGTGTCAAAATCTGTGACATTAATTATTTAAAGTTTTATGAAAATCAATGTATAAAATGTTGTTATCTCATAACAATGTCAAACTTAATGTACATGTAGTGAGATTAAACAATTTTTTCATTCTCGAGAACATCTCTTTCCAAATTTAAATATCTAAACAAGAAAAGCAATCGCCACTAAATCGTTACATTGAATACGAATTTCATATTCGACCTTAAAAAATTAATATGGAAAGCAGAGTTTTAATATAGTCATATCTAAGCAAATTTTGGATTTTGGACTACTGAAAAACCAAAGAAGATTAAATGACGAACTTAAAGCATGTTTGTTAACCATAGTACTAATACTTACGTAGGACTTCATCAGCCGAGAACCTTCTGGATACATCCTTACACAGCATCCATCTTAGCAAATCCTTAGCTCCTGAGGATACAGAGTTGAAAATACTCGTTGGGAACCTCAAGTTCGCCCTAAGCACGGTGTCGAATATCTCCTTTGCTGACTCCCCGTAAAATGGAGGGATGCCGGCTAGCATTATATACAAAATGACCCCTGCGCTCCACACATCAATCTTTTCATTGTAGCACTTTCCAGCTAGCACCTCTGGAGCCACATAGTAGGGAGTCCCAACAATGCCAGACATCAGCTGGCTGTCATTGAAGAACTCAGCTGAGCCGAAATCCGCAAGCTTCAGCTCATTTCTTTCATTGAAGAGGATGTTGTCGGGTTTTATGTCCCTGTGGGCAACCCCATGGCGGTGGCAATGTGCTATGGCTTCCATTAGTGGTACCTGTCAGAGAAATACAATATCTTTATAAGTTATAAATGTGCGTCTGTTTAGACGTAGCACCTCTAAATACAGTAGCAATTTCTAGCAAAAGAACAGGAGGTTCTGCAAAAATTATTCAATGCCATTCCATGAGGTAAAATCTGGAGTTAAAAACTGTGAATTTAAAAGGTAATATAGTCCTTAAAGAATCTGGAAACGTGTCTCAAACCATAGAATTCATTAGCTAATTCCTTTTGAGATAAAGACCTGACGCATATAAAAAAAATTATCATGCACGCGAAGGCCTTTATTAATCCTGCCTGCTCGTGAGACGCTACTTTCTTACGGATGCAGTAATCGAGTCCTCTAAGCCGTTGACAGAGAAGAATTTGGATCTCAGTCCAGTCCACCCGAAGATGTTAGAAGACAAGATTTAAATTCAAAAGCATGTAGTTCTTCTCTAATTACTTAGAAAATCCAACGATAACATGCTATTTCTGCACCAAGAACTACAAAAAAGGAACTACATCCAGAAACAACATTCTGGGCCAATGAAATAATAGAAAAAGAATATTTGAACTATTTCTTGAGAGAAAAAAAGAACGATACGATCATTCTATGATGCCCTAGAAACAGATAAAATTTCTGAATATTTTCAAATAATTATCACAAAATAATTTACAAATACAACAAAACATCAATTCATCAATAATTTAAATATTATCTGATAATAAGAACATCAGAATGCATGAAAATTAATTTTCTTCGAAAACAACGAAATTTTCTCTTTAATGAATATGGCATCTAAAACAAAGGGAAAAAATGAAAAAATAACTCACCATGACATCGAGAGCCTCGGATTCCGTGAATACGGGTCGGGCATTTATCCGATCAAAAAGGTCCGATGACTCACAATACTCAAGTATAATGTGGAGAAAGCTATCATCCTCGTATTATAGCTTTTACAAGTTGTGTAAGGGATGATTATTGCTCGAAACCAGCTGCATGATCTTGGTTTCATTGTAAAGGCACTGTCTGTCAACGGCATCGTTTTGGACGAGGCTCTTGTCGATGGACTTCACTGCGAAGCAGTCGCCGGTGACGGCGGAATGACACCTGAATACGACGCCGTACTTCCCCTTCCCAATCTCTTCCTTCACTGTGTAAGCTCTCCTGAGTGCCTCAGTCATCCGTTTCTCTCTCTAGAAACACGCAGTGTGTACCGTATAGCATTTTTGCTATAAATATAGACAGGTAGTTGGATTTATTAAACGGATATTCCGCTAACGGCATTGCCGATATACAGTGGAAAACTCTTAACAGAAGTAGACGGTGTTAACATCAGGAGTTTGGTGGTGTTATTTGTGGGTTTGTTTTAGATGCATATTACATGTTTGGTTCAGTTAAAATTTTTAATTAAAATTTAAATCAAAATTAATAATGAATTTTAACTATACATTTTATTAATTCCACAATTTTTTTTAATTTTTTTTTTAGAAAGATGGATATTTTATTGACCCCACTTGTGGCGGAGGAAAACCGACTAAAAAATGTCGGAACCTCATCGCGATTAAACAGGTCAATAGACGAACCATCGCTGCCTTTTTTTGCTAGGAAATCAACCGCCATATTAGCCTCTCTAAACACATGATGAACCTGGGCTTTTAGCGTGGACACCAGATCTAAGATTTCTTCCCAAAACTCCCACAACCACCACAGAGTGCAGGAACCTTTATGTAGCCGTTCTACCATAATTTTTGAATCGGTTTCAACAATAATATTCCTTATTTGAAGCTTCGTGCATAGGTGAAGACCATCAAGAAAGACATGGGTTTCAGCCACCATGTTAGTGCAGGAACCATAATGGCGAGAAAAACCAGCCAAAAAAACTCCCTTACTGTTACGTAAAATCCCCCCTCCGCCGACTGGACCTGGATTTCCTTTTGATGCCCCATCAATATTTAATTTGAGTTGTTCGCCCTCTGGTTTCTTCCAGCTGATCAGTTGCACCTTAGCTTGTTTAACATCGATTATCCTTTTGATGCCTCATCAATATTTAATTTGAGTTGTTCGCCCTCTGATTTCTTCCAGCTGATCAGTTGCACCTTAGCTTGTTTAACATCGATTATGGGACAATTTAAGGAGCGCAAGCAAGAGACATCACGATCTGAAATTTTCCTAACCTTGGTAATCAGATTAGCAATCTGGGATAGCATAGCTTTGGTTTGCCAAGCGGTTTTCTGCCATGAGATGGGGTGTCCTTCCATTCAGGCTTCGCATCTGGCTTTCCATAAATTCCATGTGATGATAAGTGGAGTGATACGGCAAAGCACTCCCATCTGTGAAGATCTCGAAATATGTTTGCTCCATAAGTTCATCATGCCCTTCCAAGTAGTTACACTAGGGAGAGATAGATTGAAATGGGATGCAAAATAAGCCCACACTTTTCCTGCCATTTCCCCATTGCACAACACATGATCAATGCTTTCCACCGAGGGTTTATTATAGCATTCGCATTTAGATTCCAGAGGAATCCCATTATTTTGAACCACCTCATCAACTGGTAAGCATTGTAAACGAGCTCTCCAAGATACAAACGAAATTCTTTGAGGAACGAAATTCTTATGAAGACTATGCACCATCTCCTGAGCAACAAATATATTATCAAAAATACTTCTACCCTGAATAAAGGCTGATTGTTCTTGGGAAATTACTTTGTCAAGTAAAGGGGCCATTCTAGCAACCATTATTTTGGATAGAATCTTAAGAATATACCACCAAACAAAGGCTAATGGGCCGAAATTTCGCGAAACTGTTAGGAGAATCAACCTTAGGGATAAGAGCAATGTTAGTAACCCCCAACGCATAATTAAGAGGGCATCCCTCAAAAAAATCTGTGGCCACAGCAAGTAGATCCAACTGGACAATTTCCCATGCAGCGATAAAGAAACCCACACTAAATCCGTCAGTCCAGGACTACTATCTTTGTGGATAGACCAGAGAGTGGCTTTAACCTCCTCCAATATAGGTGGTTTACATAGTGTCCTGTTATCCTCCTTAGTAATGATAGGCGTCAAGAGTTCAAAACAATTAGCATCCATGGAGATAGGAGAAACGGAGAAAAGATTTTGAAAAAATTGCACGGGCCCCTCATGAATAGATTCCGGTGAATTTAGCTCACTACCGTCTTCAAGAATCATGTGCTCGATGGGTTGATACCGTCACCCTCTTTTAGCCATTTAATGCGTGATTTCTGCCTCCAAAAAAATTCCTCATTTGTTAAGTACTAGGAATTTTATTCTACTACGATGCTACCACCTTTGAAATTCCGTACATTGCAGGCGGATTGGGACCTGTCGTAGTATATTCCCTCTTAATATCTGTAAAACACCGAATACCCTATATAGTTCAAGATTATTACGAAAATGCCACTTCTAGATTTTTTGGTGGAGATGAGTAGGGCTGTACGTGAGTCGGTTCGGTTCGATTCTGAAGAGAACCGAACCGACCCAAAACTTTCGGGTATTTAATAAATGGAACCTTCGGGTCCAAATATAATTATGGAACTGTTCGGGTTCGGTTCCGTTCCGTACCATAATTAATTTTTTTAATATTTACAGTAATACTACATAAATACAACTAATGACATTTCATTCGTAACTTTTACAAATTAACGTAATCCAATTCAAAAACATATAAATAACTAGCCCTCCAATAAAATTAATTCAATGCATATAAATACCAAAAATTATATATTAATATTACAACAAAACTAAATAAAGTATATTCATTTGTTTCAAATTAAAATAGGCTAATAGATTTTAAAAATGATTTGGGCTTTAAACTTAAAATTATGAAATAATCTGATTTATTTAATTAATTTGCTAATTTGTATGAAAAATAATATCGAAAATGTTCAACACATTCTGATGATTATTGGTCGAAACCAGCTGCATGATCTTGGTTTCATTGTAAAGGCACTGTCTGTCAACGGCATCGTTTTGGACGAGGCGCTTGTCGATGGACTTCACTGCGAAGCAGGCGCCGGTGACGGCGGAATGACACCTGAATACGACGCCGTACTTCCCCTTCCCAATCTCTTCCTTCACTGTGTAAGCTCTCCTGAGTGCCTCAGTCATCCGTTTCTCTCTCTAGAAACACGCAGTGTGTACCGTTGTGGATGTGGGGTCTATAAATATAGACAGGTGGTTGGATTTATTATATTCCGCTAACGGCATTGCCGATATACAGTGGAAAACTCTTAACAGAAGTAGACGGTGTTAACATCAGGAGTTTGGTGGTGTTATTTGCGGGTTTGTTTTAGATGCATATTACATGTTTGGTTCAGTTAAAATTTTTAATTAAAATTTAAATCAAAATTAACAATGAATTTTAACTATACATTTTATTAATTCCACAATTTTTTTTTTTTTTTTTTTTTTAGAAAGATGGATATTTTATTGACCTCACTTGTGGCGGAGGAAAACCGAGATTTCAAAGAGACATGCAACTTAATATGCATCAACATTTAAGGTAAGGTAATTTCAAACTATCCGTATACAAAATCCCTCTAAGAAATGTCGGAACCTCATCGCAATTAAACAGGTCAATAGACGAACCATCGCTACCTTTTTTTGCTAGGAAATCAACCGCCTTATTAGCCTCTCGAAACACATGATGAACCTGGGCTTTTAGCGTGGACACCAGATCTAAGATTTATTCCCAAAACTCCCACAACCACCATAGAGTGCAGGCTGTAGCCATTCTACCATAATTTTTGAATCGATTTCAACAATAATATTCCTTATTTGAAGCTTCCTGCATAGGTGAAGACCATCAAGAAGGACATGGGTTTCAGCCACCATGTTAGTGTAGGAACTATAATGGTGAGAAAAACTAGCCAAAAAAACTCCCTTGCTGTTACGTAAAATCCCCCCTCCGCCGACTGGACCTGGATTTCCTTTTGATGCCCCATCAATATTTAATTTGAGTTGTTCACCCTCTGGTTTCTTCCAGCTGATCAGTTGCACCTTAGCTTGTTTAACATCGATTATGGGACAATTTAAGGAGCGCAAGCAAGAGACATCATGATCTGAAATTTTCCTAACCTTGGTAATCAGCTTAGCAATCTGGGATAGCAAGCTTTGGTCTACCAAGCGATTTTCTGCCATGAGATGGGTGTCCTTCCATTCGGGCTTTGCATCTGACTTTCCATAAATTCCATGTGATGATAAGTGGAGTGATGCCATAAATCACTCCCATCTGTGAAGATCTCGAAATAGGTTTGCTCTATAAGTTCATCATGCCCTTCCAAGTAGTTACACTAAAGAGAGATAGATTGAAATGGGATGCAAAATAAGCCCACACTTTTCCTGCCGTTTCCCCATTGCACAACACATGATCAATGCTTTCCACCGAAGGTTTATTATAGCATTTGCATTTAGATACCAGAGGAATCCCATTATTTTGAACCACCTCATCAACTGGTAAGCATTGTAAACGAGCTCTCCAAGACACAAACGAAATTCTTTGAGGAATGTGATGCTGCCACAGCCATCTTTTCCATGGACAGGTTACTCCCTTTTTTCGGATTAATTCCCAGGCTGATTTGGTAGAGAAAGATCCATCTTTATTGGGCTTCCATATATATTGATCATGGTTTCCATATAATTTAATGGGCACACATTCAATAGCAGAAGCTTGATTTGCATCCATTAACTCCCTAAGTCGAGTTGCATTCCAATTACCATTTGTCATCAAAAGATCTTTAATTTGTAGAAGAGGTTCCTTTACTTCCAAACCTGCTTCGGCAAGACTTTGGGTTCCTGTCCAATTATCATACCAGAAATTAGAAGATCCATCTCGAATACAGCAAAATGTGTTCTGTAAAACAATAGGCAATGCCGAAATTACCCCCTTCCAAAATCGAGATTGAGTGGGATAACTTTCCAGTAAGGCCACCAGTTTGTTTTTCATATATTTAGATTGGAAGTATTCAGCCCAAAAGGATTTCCCAACCAGCAACTTCCATGCAAATCTCGTAAATAAAGCTTGTTGTACCTCGCCAAAATCTCAAATGCCCAAGCCATCCTCTTCCTTTGGATAGCAGATTTTTCTCCAGGAAACCCATTTTCGCTTCTTGGAACCATCAGAATTATTTCATAGGAAAGAAGAGAAAATATAGTTAAGTTCATTGTGGATACCTTTAGGCAGATTTATAACCGATAAGATATGAATAGGTATGCTGCTAAGAACATGCTTAATCAAGGTGATTTTACCTCCACAAGAGAGTAGTTGGCCCTTCCATCTAGCTAGCTTCTTCTGTATTTTAGCCATCATTGGTTCAAACATACACTTCAATAATCTTCCAGTGTAAAGAGGGACGCCCATGTAGGTACAAGGTAAGGCACCTTCTTTGAATCTCGAAACAGCTAATAATTTTCTTTTACGAGTAGCAATGGTGTGTTTGGAAAAAACATAGAAGATTTCATAGGATTTGCCTGTTGACTCGACATCAATTCATAACTTTTAATAACTTCAAGGAGATTAACTATCGACTTTTTTCTTCCATTGGCGAATATAAGCAAATCATCGGCATAAAATAGATGACTAACCATAATTCCTCCAGATTGAAATGGTTGGACCTGATTGGTTTCATATGCATGGTTGATCATTCTAGACAAGAGCTCATGTGCCAAAATAAATAGATATGGTGACAACGGATCACCTTGACCCAGTCCTCTCGATGGCTTGAAAAAACCCCATGTTTTCCCATTAAGCATGATAGAGTAGTATGGAGAGGAAATGCAATTAAAACAAGGTTTCTCCATTGGTCAGAAAAACCCGATCTCCTTAAACTCTCCAGAAGAAATCGCCAATTAACTCTATCATATGCTTTGGCCATATCAATCTTTAAAAGCAAGTTTCTACCTCTCACCTTCTTATGAAGACTATGCACCATCTCCTGAGCAACTGATATATTATCAAAAATACTTCTACCCTAAATAAAGGCTAATTGTTCTTGGGAAATTACTTTGTCAAGTAAAGGGGCCATTCTAGCAATCATTATTTTGGATAGAATCTTATATACCACCGAACAAAGGCTAATGGGCCGAAATTTCGCGAAACTGTTAGGAGAATCAACCTTAGGGATAAGAGCAATGTTAGTACCCCCAACGCATAATTAAGAGGGCATCCCTCAAAAAATTCTGTGGCCGTGGCAAGTAGATCCAACTGGACAATTTCCCATGCAGCGATAAAGAAACTCACACTAAATCTGTCAGGTCCAGGACTACTATCTTTGTCGATAGACTAGAGAGCAGCCTTAACCTCCTCCAATATAGGCTGTTTACATAGTGTCCTGTTCTCCTCCTGAGTAATGATAGACGTCAAGAGTTCAAAACAATTAGCATCCATGGAGATAGGAGAAACAGAGAAAAGATTTTGAAAAAATTGCACGGGCCCCTCATGAATAGATTACGGTGAATTCAGCTCACTACCATCTTCAAGAATCATGTGCTCGATGGGTTGAACCTTTGTTTTAATTTTTACTGATGCATTAAAAAAAATTGTGTTACCGTCACCCTCTTTTAGCCATTTAATGCGTGATTTCTGCCTCCAAAAAAATTCCTAATTTGTTAAGTACTAGGAATTTTATTCTACTACGATACTACCATCTTTGAAATTCCGTACACTGCAAGCGGATTGGGACCTGTCGTAGTATATTCCCTCTTAATATCTATAAAACACCGAATACCCTATATATTTCAAGATTATTACGAAAATGCCACTTCTAGATTTTTTGGTGGAGAGGAGTAGGGCTGTCCATGAGTCGGTTACCCAAAACATTCGGGTATTTAATAAATGGAATTGTCAGGTCCAAATATAATTATGGAACCGTTCGGGTTTAGTTCCGTTTGATTCCGTTACGTACCATAATTAATTTTTTTAATATTTACAACAACACTACATAAATACAACTAATGACATTTCATTCGTAACTTTTACAAATTAACGTAGCCCAATTCAAAAACATATAAATAACTAGCCGTCCAATAAGATTAATTCAATGCATACAAATACCAAAAAGTA